TATATATATATATATATATATATATATATATATATATATATATATATGATTGTTTATAATCATTAAGATTGGAGGTTAAGTATTTTTTTTTTACGTTTTGGAAAACAAACATACCGTAACATGTGCAAATAAATTATCTATTTCAATTCTTATAAATATTTATGACTTGGAACCGAACTTTCGAATGACAAACCAGATGATATTGATATTTTTTTTATTGCAGAAAGTACACACATGCGGAATGTGCGAGACAATTCTCGAGGAGGAAGAAATACCGTCCCATGAATGTTGGGCAAATTATCCAGGGATTGTTTGTGACGAGAACACCCTCTATTTGTACCCCCAATGTGGTAAGTAAAATATGAAAGGAATGATATAATATTATTTAAGCGAATGTAACAATTTTAATATCTTATAGAGAATGGAGACATTGTGTGTCGAAGTGCGATTGACGGAGCAGAACTGTTTGTTACAAAGTCGCATCTTCCGACAAGCGAAGAGCTGCTAACACCGAGCCTAGGGCGAAACCTTGAGGAACTAATAATTGCAGAAGTGTCGGCACGAGAGCTGTTGTGGAACCAAAAAATAAATATAGCAAAACGTGACAGACGAACTGTACAACAGCTTTGGGAGCAAGTGGCTGATGCGACAAATGGTACGTGTGTGTGTGTGTGTGTGTGTGTGTGTGTGTGTGTGTGTGTGTGTGTAGAGGGGGAGAGAGATTGTATACGTAGTAAAAACTGTCGTCTTCCGTCTACATTTAACCGCCGAAGCCGTAGAGAGTTCTTCCTTGGCGCTTCAGGGCGTAGACAACGTTCATGGCAGTTACGGTCTTCCTTTTAGCATGCTCGGTGTAGAAAAAAACAATACAATTTAAATGATTTAACAGTACAAAATGTACGATTTTATTATTACAGGCGAATGTTCTGTCGATGAAGTAAAGAAAAAATGGAAACACTTGAGGGATCGCTACATGAAAATTATTTCCCTTGAGAAGTTGCCAAGTGGATCAGGAAGTAAGTTATCTCGTAGGAAGTGGCAGTATTACGACATGTTGTCTTTCTTACGGGACACTTTTTTGGAAAAAGAGTTAGTATACTTCACAAAAGTATTCACTGAAATATTGGAGACAGTTAGTATTTAGTATCAATATATCTCATTTTATTGCATTTCAGGACAGTTTCAAATATGCCGAGTTGTGATGAAAACCTCAACAACGATGATGTGGAAATCCATGTGGACGGAGAAGTCAACGATGCCGTTGATGCATCGAAGGGTATGTTTCGCTCATAAGGTGTATTATCTTTCACTTGTCAGTACTATTACAGCTAGCTACATCAATTTTTCCTAATAATGCAGAATGTATAAAATCATTCTTTCATTTTTAGAATTGAAAAGAAAACGAAAAAATACTGACTGCGAACAAGACGTGATGAAGCAGATAGCGGTGGCCTTGCAGACCCCACGACCAGCAATGCCATTGCCAACTCTTGTTCTTGACGAAATTGACAACTTCACTTCAATGGTCGCCAGCCAGTTACGAGAGTTGTCGCAAGTCCGCAGACGCAACATAATGTTAAAAATTCATCAGTTATTACACACTGAATTATTGCTCAACGACGTTAATAATAATGTATAATAATATTATTTAATTGAACCGGGATACCAAGAAATATCATGTTACGATTATTTGGGAAAGTAGGAAAGAGAAATTGTCGAAAATTAGTTTGCACTGTTAAAATTTATAATTAATAAATGTATAATTTATTACTTTTACACGTGTAGTATACAAATAACGATTACTTAGTGGTAAAAAAAACATTTTGTGGAGTACATAATATACGAATTATATTACAAATGAAACAAGGTAATATTCAGATATAGTATCATTGATCGTTTTGCCATGCCACTGAGCCTTCATTATTGAAATATTTACAAAATTCATCTCTAATGAGCATAGCATCTTGAGTACTTGTATTTGTGCTACATTTGGAGATGTTCCCGAATGCACAACCATTTTCGATAATCATCCTCCACGAACCTTGCATGTGATCACCCTCTGCCGTCTCTCTATCTAGCATATTTGGTAAAATGTAGCTGTTCTCGATGTCACTCTTGCGGAGCCAGTTATGAATGCAGATTGTAGCTTGCACAATCTTCATAGCAGTTTCCACGCTACTAATGATGGGTTTTCGGTAAATTCGCCACTGGCTAGCAAGTATTCCAAAAGAGTTCTCTATCACTCGCCTGGCTCTGCTGAGTCTATAATTATAAATGTGCTGTTCGGCAGACAAGTTATTCTTTCCAGAGAATGGTCGTAGCAAATATGACTTTAGTGGGAAGGCTTCATCCCCGACAATGCAGTAAGGCAAAGACGGTCCTCCTTTATAAAAACTGTCCGATTTTGGGATATTCATTTTCCCTGCATCAAGTTGTTGACCCATTCGGCTTTCACGAAAAATGCCTCCATCACTTCGTCTGCCATATGCACCAATATCGACGAACCGGAAAACGTAATTGGCATCACAAATAGCTAATAGCACAATGCTGTGACTGTGTTTGTAGTTATAGAAATTGGAGCCAGCATTGTCCGGACACTGAAATTACACAAAGATTATTTCACGTTTTTTACATACTGCAAGAAAATTAGAGTTCGCTCATATTGTTTTTTTCTATTTATTTCCCGATAGTTTTCGATATTTGAATAATGCCTCAAAAGAATCGTTATAAAAGTGTAACTTACTTGAATGGTTACGTGCTTTCCATCGATTGCCCCAATGCAATGCGGAAAGTCCCATATATCTTCAAAATCTTCTGCGATCCTCCGCCAGTCATCTTCGAATAGTCGAGGTGGAAGGACCAAAGGACACAGGTGTTCCCAAATAGTCTTGCACGTTGTAGCAATAATATTGCTTACAGTCGTCAAACCTATCAAATATTGATACATCATTGAAGACATGGAGTCACCAGCTGCCAGAAATCTGAAACACAATAATTGATGTAATGCAACATTCACATTGATATAATTAAAGTAAAAACAAGAGATGTTTACCGTAATGTCAATGTCAATCGTTCTGCTGCACCTATCGGTTCTCGCACGACGTATTGTTTCTCCATATGTGGGCCTACAATAGCTAACAACTCTTCCAATTGCGTGGTTGACATCCGAAAATAATTATGGAACGACAGATCTTCCAATTTTAGTGTTGGCAGTAAGGCATGGTAAAAACCATACTCACAGCGTTTTTTTAAAATTGGCGCAACCCAGAAACGCTTTTTTTTGTTAATCCGTTTCTTTTTTCTAGCTAATAACAAAGCTAATGATCCGAGCAGCTTGTCACGTCGGTCTGCTTCTGCATTTTGTTCGTTAATTATATGAATGCACTGCAACCACTCATGAATTTTCATTTTCGCAGACATTATTTACTGATTAAACTGATAACGTGATAACTGACAACTCTGATAACTGCGACTGAGGTACTAAAGAATTGAGGTTATACAGGTTATACCGCGCCTGCCGAGGTATTTCACGCGGCAGACGCTGGCAGACGCGGCAAGCGACATCAGCATCAGAAGCCCCTAGATTCTAGTTCCTTCTGAACTGCCGCGCTGCCGCGCGCGGCATTTGCCGCGTCCATCAGTAGGCACCTTTAGTCGACTTTCTGCCATTTTTAGAAGCCGACTAGAAGTCGACTTATAAAAGTCGACTTACCGTCGACTTTCCGTCAACTGTGCTCTTAGGGTTTAATTAAAATTATCTGGGTGACTCACAAACCTTTTTAATCACACTTCATAACTCTTCATACAAAATACAAACAATTCCGTATAAAAACTTTTATTAATTTATCTATTTCGGCTAAATGCATGGTGTAAAAATAATTAATTAACTACAATTAAACGAATGACTCACAAACCTTTTCAATTGCACTTCAAAAGTCTTCATACGAAATACAAACGATTTCATATGGTAGATTCTTTCCCGGACATTCATTTCCGGTCAAATACATATACGAATATCGAAAACGCTATTATGTATGTAGATTGAAAATTCAGAAGTCATAGGCAGTATGCAGACACCATAGCGCATGCGCATATGGCTTCTGCATTCGTGCTCATGGCTCCTGCAATTTTATGTGCTTCCACCTTTAGGGCCAATTTCACCAACCACAGTTAAGGCCGTTGCACGTAACAAAGTTTTTAGTCATAATCGTAAGGCCGTAAGAAAATAAACCAATCACAGTCGATTATTCTTCGAGCTCAAGGAAAATAATCGAGTGTGATTGGTCTATTTTCTTACGGCCTTACGATTATGACTTAAAACTTTGTTACGTGCAATGACCTTTAGCTTAACCGATGGTTAAAGTTAGCAAAATTGACCTATGAATGCACCTATGCAAGTTTGTCTGGATAGACCTTAAAGGTACGTGGAAGCACATAAAATTACAGGAGCCATGAGCACGAATCCAGAAGTCATATGCGCATGCGCTATGGTGTCTGCATACTACCCATGGCTTCTGAATTTTCAATCTACATAAAAATACATAAGCATAGTTTATGTAGATTGAAAATTCAGAAGCCACAGACCGCCGTAGAGTTAGCAGACAAATTGAATATTTTGGAATTATTTTTTTTCATATAATTTGGGAATCATTTGGGAAAGTTTGGGAAAATTGTTTAAACATTTGGGAAAGAATAGATTGTTTGTTATTAACAATATTTATCGAGCGTCAAGTTAGCAGATAGCGACTATTTTTAATGTTTATTATAAATGGAATTGATTGGAAATCATTTGGGGATGACATCTTCATTGTAATTTTTATTTGGGAAAAGTCGCTTTTTTTGTAATTTAAATAAATCTTTGTATTAAATGTTCTTTTACGCTGCACTTCTGCACTAGTACAACAAGTGAACTTACTGCACTAGTTCAGAAGTGTAGCGAAAAAGAACAGACCGTTATCGGCAGTAGTGTGAAAATTACATATTTTTCGGAGGAGCTGAGGAGTAGCGAGTTGCTTACGTCGAGACCGTCGAGTAGATCTCGACATGACAATATACTCCGAAAAGAAAATTTGTAGATGTTATTTTCTTCATATATACTTCATATATACATTATTTATATCTTATAAACAGAGTAACTCCTTTATTTCCTTTTCCATAATCGTGGTACACTGACTCGCATGAGTCGGAAATACATTCGGTTGAAAGAAGAATTCCTTTTCCGTGACGCGGTTACATTTATCATTAATAATAAGAATCTATCTTCTTTTCTCGTTGTTTCAGTGTATCTTATTTGAAACAAACGTGCGAGCAAGCGAGAGTGTGAATGAATATATGAAAAGTAAAATAAAAAAGAAACAAAATGTACGAGAAAATGAGAATAACGAGCATTAAGATGCCTTTTCACGTTAACGCTCGACGCTCATTTTCAGCAAGTAAAAATCTTCAGAAATAATATATTTTATTTATATATGTATCCATAAAATATTATTGATTGTACTAGGACGATTAACGACGATTCAGCGACGACGCTGAATATTAAACAAATTCAACTTCATTTCTTTGACGCTAGCGTCAAAGCGAAACCACCACGTTCACCTTGTTGACGCTCATTTTCAGCGTCTCATGAATTAGCACCTTAAGTCAGTGTACCACGATTATGGAAAAGGAAATAAAGGAATTACTGATCTGTTTATAAGATATAAATAATATATATATGAAGTATATATGAAGAAAATAACATCTACAAATTTTCTTTTCGGAGTATATTGTCATGTCGAGGTCTACTCGACGGTCTCGACGTAAGCAACTCGCTGCTCCTCAGCTCCTCCAAAAAATATGTAATTTTCACACTACTGCCGATAACGGTCTGTTCTTTTTCGCTACACTTCTGAACTAATGCAGTAAGTTCACTTGTTGTACTAGTGCAGAAGTGCAGCAAAAAAGAACATTTAATATAAAGATTTATTTAAATTACAAAAAAAACGACTTTTCCCAAATAAAAATTACAATGAAGGTGTCATCCCCAAATGATTTCCAATCGATTCCATTTATAATAAACATTAAACATAGTCGCTATCTGCTAACTTGACGCTCGATAAATATTGTTAATAACATAAAATCTATTCTTTCCCAAATGTTTAAACAATTTTCCCAAACTTTCCCAAATGATTCCCAAATTATATGAAAAAAAATAATTCCAAAATATTCAATTTGTCTGCTAACTCTACGGCGGTAAGCCACAGCCATGGGCAGAATACAGGCAGATATCATAGCACATGCGCATATGGCTTCTGCGTTTTGCTTGTGGCTCCTGCAATTTTATGTGCTTCCACCTTTCTATCCAGACAAACTTGCATAGGTGCATAACCATATGCATAAAGAAACGGATTGGTCTATTTCCTTATGCACATGCATATGGACCACAGTATGGACCAATCAATTCTCTTATGCTTATGTTTATGGGCTTATGCTTAAGTTATGGGCTTAAGTTTGTGTGGATATAGCTTTAGTCTGGGCTGCGTTCGAAAACTTCACTCGGGTGCACACCAACGTCGTTCTGTCCTTGTTCAACTTTTAATGAATAACAAAAGGTTTGTTCGCGTCGCACGCCCCACCATGCTCCAACGCACTCCAAAAACTCATCTGCTCCAATCGCCACCCTTTATCCGTGATCCAAGTGTCTCTGGTGTATATTGGAGTATGCGACGCGAACAAACCTAAAGATAGAACGACGCGGTGTGCATCCGAGTAAAGTTTTCGAACGCGACTACTTTCGATATACTACAAAATGGAGGATCCTCTTTCAAGAGCTCTATATAAGTAGGAGGCTATTATTCATTCCCATCAATTGTCGTTGATCACCGTTGGTGCGCGTAGTTAAGTGCAATTAGAGTGTTTATCGGCAATGTGATTGAATATTTTTGTAGAGAGACTTTTGAGGCATTTATTCGCAACGTGATAACTTCGTGGAGAGAACTTTCGGAGCACTTATCGACAGTAAGATCAGTTTTTGATATTGTCATTTACTATCGAAAGTTCCTTTTCTTTTTTCGTCTAAGCATTTGGAACATTTAAAATGTCGCCGACATGCCTGTAGTGTAATTAATCCATCTGATTGAACCGAATTGAAGAGGAATATCTGCTGACATAAAACATATGATATTTTCGTAAAGGCAAATTTGCGATTTCTTTTGCTTACTGTTGTTTTATCGTTGCCGATAAAATGGATTTCGGCACTCTGATCTCCGTCGCACAAAAGAACGAAACGAAGAAACAGGTTAGTCCATTTTTTTTTACATACTTAAGGCCCTTTCGTTTTAGCTGAACTTCTTGCACGGTTCATTTTTGTTCTTTTTCTTTTCACATTGGAAAGAAAAAGAGAATAGATGAACTGTGCGAGAAGTTCAATTAAAATGAACAGGCCTATATATGTATATAATGTATTTTATTTACAATCGGATACTGTCAAAAGTGTACAGCTGACGTAGACAGGTAACGTCAGTTTAGGTTAGACATCTGGGCGAAAAGAATTTTCGATCGTTTTTTAGATTATCCTCACTTCAACGTTATTTATTTTTCAACAGACCGTTCCATGTTATCAAACAAAATTTGAACCACCAAAGAAACAGTCTAAACAATCTAAAACCCTTTCCAATAATATTAAGAAATTTCTAGCTCGGAAGGAAGAGGAAGAGAGACAGAAAGCCCTGGAAGAAAGAAGGAAAAAGGAAGTAAGTTTGTAAAAAACTTCGTGCATTAATGAATAATTTATTTATATTGTTTTACGTTTTACACTCTTTTTGTATGATTATTAATATAAATGATTATCGGCGCAACGGTAAGGCAGATATTTTAAGCTTTAGCTGCAGCAATTTTTTGCGTTAAATATTTTTTGCCTTAATAATTTCTTGTTTTGCGTTGATTTATTTTCTTTGAAAGAACCTTGTATTTGATTGTCTATATTTTCAAGAATTTTGTATGGAAATATCCTACATTTTTCTTAATAGACATTTCTTATTTACTTCCATGAAAATAGATAAAAAGATATAATATCCGTTTTGATAGAAATATCATGTGTTTTTCTTGGCTTGACAATCGTACAGTATAGAATCATATACTTTATTGAATATAATATCTTTTATGATGAAGCAATTATGATAAAAGAATTATGAAAGAGTTACGTACATTTTATTTTAGTTTAGATAATTTCATGATATATCATTACCTTTTTTTTTTAAGAGAAATAGATGTAAACAATAAGATTGTAATATATTTCTCTTCTTAATATTTTTTAAAATAATTTTTAGTTATAATTGTTTTCTGATTTTTAATGTTTTTAAATTAATCTTTGCATAGCAAAACATTTCTATAATATTTTATAAGTTACTCAGTTATTTTTAAACTTTATGATGTATTGAGAAAAACATCTGTTTTATACAATAGCTTTTTTAACGCGTGTACTTGACTCTTTTTATCGAAAACAAGATTATTTATCAGATATCAACAAGTTATACTTGGTTTTTGTTTTTCAGAATCTTTTAGCTTTACGAGATCAGAAGACTCAGAATCGAATAAATAAACATTTGAAAGTGTGTAAAGCGGCGAACAAGTCAGTGATTGAGGATGCCATTGACAATGAAAATACGGCTATTACCATCGCAGGTAATACCATGTGATTACAGATAACCTTTTTCTTAAGGATTAAATAAGGTCTGTTTTACATTTTTATTCTAAGTATAATTTATATATTATTGGGAGAGGGGACAAGTTTGGAATAAAATGTAAAAATAAAGTTCCAAATAAAAATACCAAGAGACTTTTATTTTATTTGTTTACAATTTTTTTTGCAATGTATAGCCTTTTTTTAAATATAATTCAAAAATTATAATATAGTACTGTTAAGTACCAAAATGACAGTGTTATTAAATACCAAAGCAATGAAATAAGTAAATCTTTATATTATGCAATTTGTAAAATAATAAAACTATAAAAGTGTAATGACGTACAAGGCAAACTGACGAGAGTAATAACAGATAGTTTATTATTTATATAATAACTTAAACTTAATATCAACTTGATCGGCAGAAAAATCTTATCCATAATAGGCAATATTTTTGCCTACAGGTTGTAATATATACGAGCAAAACAATACATTATTTATCCATCATCCCAAATCGAGGCAGAACAATTTCACAGTGGATTTGCGCGGCGATGGATGCTTTAAGGTCAGCCATATAATCTTGAAGTAATCTAGATGACTCATAAGTATGAAATCTGTGCTACAGCCATTCTCGGTCTTCATAATATTTATAAATTTTTTTCTAAGTGATATAGAACCGTGATCTTATTTATATTTATCATATTAATGCAAGCCACATATGCATGTTGCTTTATTTTTCCTCTTCTACAAACGAAACTATTTTTATGCACATTTTAATGTACATATTGTACATATTTTTTCTGTTGTATTATACAATTCTGTTGAATAGTAATACATTCTGTTTTTTGTTCTATACTAAATGTTATTTAAATGATTATTAAATCAAATGATTATTTAATATAATATATGATTAAACACAATGTAACAATAATTACAATAATTTACTTTATTCCATGAAGTAAAAGACATTTAGTTTAGATTATACATGATATTGCTCTATTATTTTTCTACAACACTGTTCTCTTAACTTTTCATGTCTCTTCTTATTGTGTTTTTTATGTCATTTATTTATTTATATTTTTTTTTTCTTATTATTTTATGATACTTTATTAGTATTGGGAACTTTCTTGTCTATAAAATTAGTTTTTGTGCTTGGTATTTGGAACTTTATTTTTATGTAATTATAAAATGGTACAACTGATTGCTCGAGGTATATCTTTAAAATATATTTTTGTAACTTATATTATGATAATTGATTACATTACATTACAAGTTAGTTATATAAAATATTATCATTCTGCAGGCCCATCTCAACCTGATGAAGACGATTATGGATATGAATCCCAAGCAGCTTCTGCATTGTATAATCAGTTTATGAGCAAATATAACAGTTTACCTCCAGAAAAGCCCATTTTTAGTACTAGCGAAGCAAGAACGGCAAAAGATATTGCATCTACAAAGGTATATTCTCTGTTAAAAATTAAAGAAAAATGTTTCGAGTAAATTGTATGATATAATGTAAGCGTAATTGAAATATGGATCCTTGAAATACATTACCACCATTCACTGACTGCTCTTGTACGGAATTACGCTCTTTTTGAAATGTATAATATAAGAAGAAATTTTATCTATAAAGCTATCAATATTTATTACATGTATATTACTATTATTATATTAGGACTTAAGACAACTAATTTCAGAAAAACGAAAATGTTTAAGAATAGCTATTATTTTTTTATTCCACGTTTCTGTATGCTTTCTCCTTTTGATGGAAAGAAATAAATGATAATTGTGTACATGGAGGGGACCACCTTGGATGACCTTGATATTTTAGTATGTTGTCAAGGTCACCCTCCTGAGTAACCTTCAGAAGGTTTTAGCCTGCGCTCATTGTTTATTCAAAAGTTAACAAAAAAATTTGAGAAATGTAGCAGTTATTTTGTATTAAAAGTATTAAAAGGCATAAATGACTAATATATATGTCGAAATAGTACATGCATGAACAAAGAAAAGTTTTTTAAAGCAGTAAATCGGTGTTTTCAGTTCCACCATCTACGAGTCCACGCGTTTTCTATGAAATTATTATACGATGTTTATAGAATTGTAGACCTCGTTTCCAGCCGAAAGCAACGATTCACCGCTTTAATAACTAATTGCAGAATTTCTTTTCAAACGTCAGTATTGAGTTCAAAGATCGTATTGAGGCGTTTTTTCGCGCGATTGCAGTTATGTATCCGCTCGAAATTGCCGATTCTGTCAAACTTTCTCAATAAATATGTTTATATAAATCCTAATAAACATTAGTTTCACAATTATACAATTGCACGTTCATTAATTAGCATATTCATTAATGTCACATGGGTTTGTGGCGTGTTTTATAACCTCGTTTCTCAAATTTTTTTTTGTTAATAACTTTATGTATATATATATAAACAAGCTTGTAAAGCATGCCACGAACTCATGTGGCACCTCGTTTCGCGTGGAAAGTGTATGCATGAACTATTTTGACATATATATTAGTCATTTATGCCTTCCAATACTCAAAATAGCTGCTATATTTTCTACACATTTTTTTTGTTAATAACTTTTTAACGAATAACGAGCGCGGGCTGAAACCTTCTGAAGGTCACTCAGGGGGATGACCTTGATAACATACTAAAATATCAAGGTCATCCAAGGTGGTCCCCTCCATGTACACAATTACCAAATGTTATTTTATGTGTTATAGGATAGAGTAAAACAAGCTTTGAAACAACAAGAACTCGAAGAAAGTAGCGGACATAGAAGAAGGAGAAAATCGTCCGTTTTGAATGTAAAAGAAACTGAAGTTGATGAAAAAGCAGAGAAGAACAGCAAAGAAGTTAAAGACAAGGTTAAAGAAGACAAGGATGAAAAACCCAAGGTAAAAAGAAAATCACTGCCACCGCCTATGGGTTTTGCTGAACTTTTGAAACTCGCCGAAGTAAAGCAACATGAACCCGTAGTTATAGAAGTTAAACCAAAGATTGAAAATGAACGACCGATGACGAAGCGTGAAAAAATGGAATATATACAGGAAAAAGAAAGGAAGGAGCAACGTGAGAAGAAAAATTTAGAAGTTAAAAAAACAAGCATTACAAGTACACCCAACAAACTTGATAAAATGCAATTGAACAAAGTTCCCAAGGCTAGTGATAAATCTGTAATTTTAAATTCAACGTTGAATAAAAGTACTTTCAAATTTACAACCATTTCTAAACAAGTTACTAATAAATCTGACGATAAACATAATATCGAAAAATCAAATTCAAACAAAAACTCACCCAAGAATGAATTATTAGAAGAACGGAAGAAATTGGAAGCTGAGAGAAAACAACTGGAAGAAATGCGACGCGCTATCGAGGAAGAAAAGAAGAAGTTAGCGCAAAGTAAAAATAAATTGGAGGACATTAAATCTCAGCCCTCTAATAAATTAAATTTGACTAAACCCAAATCTATAAATAAGCAAATATCATCCAAGGATATTAAGCCGCGACAATTTCCACCTTCGGATTTAAAGTTGCAATCTTCATTAGCTAATAGTAAACCAAAACAATCTCCACCACCTGATATTAAGCTTTTGAAATCAAAAACAGTCGTTAGAAAAGCATCCAATAAAAGTGAGTTTACTTATAATTATGCGATACAATGAAAGAGTTTCGTTAAGGATCACATAATTAATCACTTGAAATGTATATAATTTTACAGGATGCATCTATGATGATGAGGAAGATGATTCAGATTTGGCCGATTTCATAGATGATGGACCAGAAGATAACAACGAGTACAATTACAGTAAGCATATTAGTGAGATATTTCATTATGATAAGACAAGATATAAAAATATTGATGATGAAGATGACACTGCTATGGAAAGTAATTATGCGCAACAACTGAAAGAAGAATTAATATCTTCAAAAATGGGTATTTATTTCTATCTTGAGTATTTTGTAAAATACATGTATAGCTTGTTAATGTTAACATTAAACATTTGTAGGATATATCGAAGATTTAGAAGATATGCGTATGGAAGCGTTAGAGAAAAAGAGAAAAGCTAATTTAAGGAAGAAGTTCAAGAAATAGTATAATTATTTCAGCTTTGCACATATTTATATGTATCTCATTTTTTTTTAGGATAATTAATATTTATTAGGATTATAAAATAAGTCGCAAGAATGTGTATAAAAGCATTTACTTTATTTGCATTGATATAAAAACAATTTTTACATTTTTTTGCCATCTAAATTGTAAAAAATTACGTTTAACGTATCATTTTGTGCTGAGAAAGATTATTGTATGCTATATATTGACATTATAAATAAAGTTATGAACATTAAAATGAGAATACTTCTTCATTGAAGTCTCGTGATGAAAAGCTTGGAACATTTTTTTATAAGTTTTGGAATGCGGAAAAAATACCGAGACCTTTATCGAAATAGAAATAAATTGATAGCTTTCCAGCAAGCGACACAAGCATTGTTCTATCTTTCTTTTTTGGTAATGAGTAACAAAGATAAAACGATACTTGTGTCGACTTAAGCGGGGAGCACACACTTCTGCACAACGCATAATGCTTAATGCGGGGAGCACACACTTCTGCACAACGCATAATGCGTAAGCATAAGAAAATTGATTGGTCCATACACATGTGCATAAGAAAATAGACCAATCAATTTTCTTATGTTTACGCATTATGCGTTGTGCCGAAGTGTGTGCTCCCCGCTTAAGCATAAGAAAATTGATTGGTTTATTTCCTTATGCACATGTGTATGGACCAATCAATTTTCTTAAGCTTACGCATCATGCGTTGTGCAGAAGTGTGTGCTCCCCGCTTAAGGTGGAAGCACATAAAATTGCAGGAGCCATGAGCAGAAAGCAGAAGCCATATACGCATGCGCTATGGTATCTGAAGAGCTCTAAAGGCCATCGCACACAAAATGCATAGCTTAGCATAAGCATAGCATAAGACCGCTAAACCAATGAGCATCCAGCATAAAGTCGCCATATTGATTTACATAAGATGCTCATTGGTCCAGCGGTCTTATGCTACGCTTATGCTAAGCTATGCATTTTGTGTGCGATGGCCTTAACAGATACCATCGCGCATGCGCATATGGCTTCTGCATTCTGCTCATGGCTCCTTCAATTTTATGTGCTTCCACCTTAAAAGGTCTATCCAGACAAACTTGCATATGTATGTACATACCTAGATGTACATACAACCATATGCATAAAGAAACGGATTGGTCTATTTCCTTATGCACATGCATATGGACCAATCAATTCTCTTATGCTTATGTTTATGCGCTATGCAAGTTTGTCTGGATTGACCTTTAAGGTCATTGCACACAAAATTGCTATAGCTTAGCATAAGCGTAACATAAGACCGTTAAACCAATGAGCATCCAGCATAAAGTCGCCATATTGATTTACATAAGATGCTCATTGGTCCAGCGGTCTTAAAGTGGAAGCACTGGGAAGCACATAAAATTGCAGGAACCGTGAGCACGAATGCAGAAGCCATATGTGCATGCGCTATGGTGTCTGCATACTGCCTATGGCTTCTGAATTTTCAATCTACATAAAAATACATAAGCATAGTATAGTGTATGTAGATTGAAAATTCAGAAGCCATAGGCAGTATGCAGACACCATAGCGCATGCGCATATGGCTTCTGCATTCGTGCTCATGGCTCCTGCAATTTATGTGCTTCTACCTTAAGACTCCATAGACGCGGAAACGCCGTGCGGTAGAGTGCGTTGACCAATCAGAAGGCTGCCGCAAGTCGCCTGCGGCAAAATCAAAATTTGTGATTGGTCAACGCACTCTGCCGCATGGCGTTTCCGCGTCTATGGAGTCTTAGCATTAAGGTGCCTTTTCATGCTGACGCTCGACGCTCATTTTCAGCGGCAAGAAGGTCGCATGACCACAATTGACGCCGGCGTCAATTGAAATTCATGAAAAGGAAAACAGCGTCAAAATTTCGGCGTCTTCGCGCTGCTTTGGCTTTGACGCTTGAAGTTGGAAAAATCCAACTTCTCTTTCTTGACGCTGGCATCATAGTGATGTCACGTGACGACGCTCAACGCTGTTTTTCAGCGTCCCATGAATTGGCACCTTTACTGTGGTCGGTGAAATTGGCCGCGTTCAGCAGATACAACTGTTGAGTGTCGTCTTATCAACACGCTACATTGATTTGTTGGGTCTAAAAGTAAGAGCCAATCACGTTCGACTGCTACTGAGCGGCTTGGTCTGCTGAACGCGACCATTGGCCCTTAATCCGCTCCATGGGACGCTAGCAGACGTTTCAATTGTGTTCCAAAACTCATCAGAATAATTATATATATATGTATATATATATTTTTTTTGTGTAGCTGTGTTCCGAAATTTATCAAGAAAAAGACGTTTTAATTTCGATGCCGAAAGTATCACGCGTAAACGTTATATTAGCACGTGTAAATTTACGATGATGTCTTTATTGTGAACGCGGGGTTTTCTCGTAACCTTGACGAAAATGCGCGGGCAGTAGTCGAGAGTCGAGATTGTAATTGAATTCGTAAAGTATAAACGGCCGACTGTAAAACAATGTGAAACGATCGTGACAACTATCGTAGTGTTGCTAATTGTTTTTTAATTCATGTGTTTCCTCTGTTTGTTTTTTTTTACTTCAACTAACTACAATCAATTCGCATTGCGATCATGTCGTGGAAGGTAAAATATTGTTGTTTAATATTGAAAAATATTGATTAATGTCCTTAGCTTTACAGGGACTTCATGTATAATGTAAAAGTTTGTTGCGCGAGAGACATATTAGCAACGTTCAACGTCGCAATTCATATATCGTTCATGTACACTTTGCATCGCTTTTCAGAGAAGAATTAAGGCAACGCCACAAGAACTTGCCTATCGCGAGAAACATTTTCATGGTAGGTTAATCGTGCTATACAATTTATACATAAACTTTAAATACAATGATACATATACATATTTATGTCATTGAATAAAATTAGGCAAACGGAAAGATCAATCATGATCGTTCTTTTAATTTTTGATAAACACTTGTTCTTATGCATATATATTTATTTATCAGAAACTAAAAAAAAAATCATGGTTACCACATTAACATATCTCTGTTTGCAGAATTTTATTTATGAAGATGCTTTATAATAATATAGAATTGTACACTTTAATTTAGATATTAGAATTATCAGAGATAAGCAAATAGTGTGTACAGCCTGTGGCAATGAATTAAATATCGAGACAAAACAAATCTTTTCTAATCCTATCATTGGAATACTGCTGTGTAAGGTAAGATGTTGCATATTCATTGATATTCTATAATATAAAAAGTTAAAAGCTTTTCATATTTAAAGCCTAAAATAGTAAAAAAAACCCAAAAACTGAATAGATTCTTTTTTGTTGATTGTGTATTAATTATACAATGTTATGTAATTTTATATTATTTTTATTTTTTAGGTATGCTGGAATCACTTGAAGAATATAGATGCAAAATTTGATAAAGACGAAGCTAAAAGGTATTGTTATATATGTGGCGAGAGCAAGAAATTATACGTGAAATTATACGTGTGCTGTAATAAAGACTGCTTTTCGGCATTTTGTAAGGTAATATATATTCAGAGTATAACTTAATATAAGTATATCAATCATTCAAACATGATAGTATACCTACATGATTATGAATCGTTTTATATTTTTAGGGATGTATAAAGAGGAATGTGAACTCATCACTGCTGGATGCAGCAAAAAAAGACTGGAAATGTTTTACATGTAATTCTAAACCAATTTGGGACTTGAGAGGCATATGTGCTGCTGTAATGGATTCTCTTCCCAAGTGAGTACAATATAAGTATCAAGCATATAAACATTGCTTGTAAAATTTTCAAATTGTAAAAACGTACATTTTTATTTCTGACACATGTATACATTCATATGTTTCTTAAATGTCTTGATATGTATTTAGTATTTATCATAATATTTTTGTTATGTATATGTGGATAGAATATAGATACGCATAGCTAGCTCTAGCTAGTTGTTGCATTACTATTTTTGTTACAAAACTAAAATATCAAAGCTTTTGGAAGTATTGGCAACTTGGTAATTTTCTTATAGATTAAGTTGCATGCTTAGTATACCATGCAATATGCACTATTCTGTAATTTAATATACAATTTATAATGTTTTATTAATACTGTTAGTCCGTTCTGTTCTAACATAATTTGATAGAAGAAGAAAGTTCTGTATAAGCAAGATGTGCAAAACTGAAGAACAAAATAGAATCTCGCGTTTTTTAGCTACAGGACTGGCTGACAGATACTAAAAGTTCGAGAATAAACAAGTTAAAGAAGAATATGAGGGATATGCATGTATACACAATACTTCAAATACGTCTGGAAAAAGAGAAGATATATACATGTGGAATGGATCTTCTGTTTCAGAAAGGGTAACAAGAGAAGCAACAAGATTGAAAAACGTATATTACCATCTCAGGTACAACGAGTAGAGAAAACCAGAGAAGTGCAAAAAGTCTTGCATTCATTGTGCGACAGAGAGGATGACGATTCTTCCACAAAGTCATTCGTTTCTGCAAGATCCATGCAGAAAGTAGATACTAAAAATCGTCATACGAATCACGATACAAGTTCCATTCGGCAGAAAACAACAATGGAAATTGATCTAACAGATTCATCCAGCGAGAGTTCGTCTGTATTCTCGAATAAAAGAGATAAACGAAGTAAAAGCGACAAAGATAAAAAAGCGAAATCCACACGAGATTCTAGCGATCGAAACGTGCAGAAAGATTCAAGATCCGTTATAAAAGAAAGAACATCAAAGAGACTTATAATATCTAGTGATTCGATGGATTCTACCGATTCATCGTCAAAAACGATTACAGAAAAACGTACAAGTAAACGTAATGTTAAGTCTGAAAAAATAGTGAAACGTAAAACGAATAGTAATCGTATACATTCTTCTGATAGTGAAAGTGACGAGAATGATACGAAAAGAGCGTCGAATGTATCCAAAAGAATTTCAAAAGATACTATACAACAGAATAAGAAAATGGATAATTCTTATAATGCAAAGTCGAAGGATAAAGCGAAGAGGTGTCATGACTCGACTAGTGAATCCGAGGATGAAGAACGTAAAAGACGAAGTAGGAAGAAACGTTCGGAAACGAGTCTGACATCACACGGTAGTAACGATGAACGAAAACGTGACAAGTCGTCGAATTCGCGGTTTTCTAATATTCAGAAAGATGATTCGGATAATAGTTCGAGTAAAGAATTTCAGAAAAAAAAACTTCAAAAAGTGAATCGCAATAAGTTCTCTAGGAGGAAGTTGGTAGACTTAGAAATAGATCATACTAAGTCACCCAGCGTGAAAAATTCTGTGAATGAAAAGAGCAAAAAGCAGATCGACAAACAAGCGGATCAGAATTTTAATGATATAAAAAAGATTTTAAAGGACTGCAAAAAGAAATGCTCAGACTTTCAGATGTTTATAGAAAGTATAGAGCATCTATATGGCAAAGAAGATGAGTTACTTATACTGAAGTCCGCAGAAAAAATTGATAACTTGAAAACGGTGTTGGAGGAAAAGCGAAAGGATTTAACAACTTCTTATCAGTTGTGGTCTAAGAATAGGAAAAAATCTGCTACGAAAAGGTACAAAGAAATTAGCGATGATGAACAGTCTTCAGAAGAATGTGAAAAACGCACGGTGGACGAGGATATACGCATCTCCGGTGATGAGCAGGGCAGAAATAAGGCTGTGTCCGAATGTGACAGCGAGGAAATTTTTTCAGCGAACGAAACAAAAACAGGCAAGAAGCAGAAAATGCAAGCAGCTCAGAGCAAAGCAAGTACAACAAGAACGAAAAATAACAATGGAACTAACATCGATGAGGAAGAAAATAGAATGTCAGTGGACGAGTCGAAGAATAACGATAAAGATAACGTGGATATAAGGAATGATTTAGCCATCTCTCCTGTAATAGGTTCTTTAAAAGAGAAGAAGACCAGCACAGAACGATCAAGTAAAAAGCAACTACTTTCAGAATGCAATAAGAATAACAACAAGATACAACCGACAGATGAAAATACTAATACTAACGCTAAGGCAAGTTTGAATACTGATATTTATAACGACGAAACTGAAATTGAAGATTCTCCTTCGAGAGATAACTGCAAGGTAAGGACATTGGAAAATGATGAAGTAGGTCAATCAAGCAAAAGAAATATAATCAACGAGTCAACAGATTTGTTCGACACATCTTTTGAAGATGCAGGAGAGAACAGAACGGAAGTCGAAATAGAAACAAATTGTGACAAAGAAAAGCTTTTGCATACATCTAAAGATAAATTTTCAGATCTTTGCAAAGATCCCTTGAAAGATAAAGTTCCAGACGAAGAAGAGAGGGCATCTCTTTTGTCTTATAACATGGGAGAAGAGGAAGATTTATCAAATCGAATTGCTCAGGAGAAAATGACACCTTCAGTCACTAAGGAAGCTTATGATGACTCAAAAACAAACGGAAAAACGAACACCGACAATGAATCTCTCGATGACGCTGAAGCATTGGCAAAGAAAGCTCTGCTGGCAACAGATTCTGACACGTCCGACACATTGCCCGATAAAAACGTAGCTAAACTAACTGAAGATTTAAAAGTCACAAACGATACTAATCAAACTGAAAAGAAAACGGAAGATGATGATTCTAATAGCGTTAGTACAGTAATGATTATAAAAGAGGCGAATACCGATGTAAAGGATACTATCACTGATGAAGGCGAAACTAAAGTTGAAAAGAAAAGTGATAATCGATTGGACAAGAAATCTCGCAAAAAAAAGAGTTCTTCAGATGAGGATGCTAAGATCGCCAAAGCAGAAAGAGCTGCCAAGCGAGCTCTCTTAGAATCAAATTCAGACGATTCTACGCCCTTATCATCGGAGTCGGGAAAACTCACCTACAAGAAGTCTGAATCAGATTCTTCTGAAAAAAATACCAAAGCGAAGCTGTCGCTCCTGGCATCTTCCAGTGAAATCTCCAGTCCCGAAATGGCAAATGTTTCGAAGAGCACTAAACGTTATCATGAGCCTGAGCCTGATAGAGAATCTGCAGTCACTAGGTTAAAGAAGAGAAGACTTAACCTCGACAAAAATTACTACTACAAAAATGATAAGAAATTGAGAATGTCCTGCAAAGTTCATTTAAATCGATTAAGCGCAGAAGTTCTTAAATGCCATTCACGTGCGTTAGGAAAGTCAACAGAGTATCTGGAACATAAGGCACTCAAAAGGTATCGAGAAATTTCTGTAAAACGTCTGTCTATTGTCTTAGAACGTTCAACATAATTTGAATTTCTGTTTGATATTAGAGTTTTAACTGTTTCCAGTATGTGATACTTGTGATAGAACTTATATAGGGTGCGATCTAACACTTCAAACGCTTCAGAGCATCATTTTATCCTTGTTTGATAAACATTTGATAAACAACAAGGATGAAATGTTTCCAAGAGCATTTAGGGCCAGTTTCACAAGTGTTGGTTAACTCTTAATCTTAGATTAACTCACTCTTCATCTTTTTCTAAGGGGGACGTT